TTCTTATGCATTTACATATCAAACACCTAAAATTTGACATCTATATTAATACCAAAAGTATATTTCACTTCTAAGAGATTAGTGATAGTGATATTTTTGATGTGGTAGAGTGTTAGAATGTAAAAGACATAGTCTAGGAGTAAGATATGTAAATTTCATAAAAATTCAGTGGACGCATGTAAATGCTCCTAAATAAAAATGATGATAAAATATAATCACAGCAGAGAATTAAAAAAGATTAGAAGTAGATTTTGTTAACCTGCATCCAAATTTATGAATGAAGAGGAAAATTATTCTATATTAAAATTGAGTTAAAATCATCGGTCTCTCCCAACCGAAGTCAAGTAGGAGAATAAATGCGTATTTGACAGATTTGGAAAGTCTTCGAGTCTCCAACAAGATTGTTTATTAAACAAATTTATTAACTCCCAATTACAGCAGTAAAACATGCCATCGTTCAAACAAGTTGTCATTGCAGTTTTAATCTCAACCATAATTATCATTAATTAAATACAACAATATAAATCACACAAATCATGTCATTTGTAAGTCTACAAAATCCAAAATTTTCAATTTCACAAAAGAAAAAAAAAAACAAAACCTCCTCTAGCACAGATGAAAAATCTACCAACCTGAATAGTATAAGATTAATCTCTCGAAACTGAAGAGAAGCAGTGGGAAAAACCTTAAACAGGCACCGGAGCAGATTAAGGATGAGCAAAAATTTACCTGTGTAAGACCTCATCAGCACTCAGCATACAGATACCTTTGGCTTAATTACTCTTCTCATAAATTATAAAATTGTTGGAGAGAATGAAAACTTCCGATATTACTGCTGGACCACATTTCAGAAGCTTTTTATATTGAGCTCCTTTCAGTTTCATTGTGGGCAGCATATAAAACTAAATAAGAAGGATTCAGTAAACAGCTTGTTATGCATAACCAATCCAAAAGGTTTTAAAAAAAGAAAAGAGAAGAAAAAAACCTTTATATCAATCGATTTGTGAACTTCTCAATCATCCAAGTAGTAATAAGACCCGGCGGATTTCTGTTCCCGATCTTTGGTAGAATCCAACTTGTTTATGCGAGGTCGATAATTAGTTGGATCCCGTCGAAAAGTAATATCGAGATGCTGCAGTACATATAACCATGTAAGTGAAAATTGTTTGATCCGAGTTCATTGCATGAATAAGTATATATAATACAATAAACCCACATAGGATATCAAATATTATCACCAAATTTCTTCAAATAAACATGAGGCAATTGGCACAAAAAAAAAATCCAATGATTAAGACAAACTCTACAAAAAAAAGGAAAAAAACGAGAGGCCAAACTATAATATTATATATGTGTGTGCGCGCGCTATATATATATATATATTAGGGGAATTTACAAAACTATCACCAAATTATTTTGATATTTTGGATTTTTGCCACCCAAATCGTTCATATCACATCAATAATACCAATTTTCATGCAGAGGCAAGGTGGCATGTATGTAAAAATTGAAGTTTATGTGTTGGTAATGTAAATACAGGAATTAAGGGGAATGTAAATTTTCCTATATATATTTACTTTAATGCAAATATGAAGTTGCTAGACACCAATGAACAAGATGCGTTCTGGTCCTGATACCAGTACTAAGAATTCTCCACCAGACTAAAAATTTTGTTAGTTCATTTAAGCCCGAGTTGGAAATATTGTTGTGCTTTTTTTGTTGCATTTTCTTGTAAACACAAATTTGCATCCTTTCACCGTAAACACAAATTTGCTTTTTTTGTTGGATTAGTATCTTAACATTTTCATGTCATCCTTTCATCCTTTCATCCTTTCACCGTAAAAACTCATTCAAACCATCATAATGGATTTCATCAATTCCACATTGGACAATACCTCGTGCAATATTTTAGGGATTAAAGATTTGAAGAAGTGCATAAGTTTACAAAAAAAATTTTGTCGAATGATGATAACTATACAATTACAAAGTGAGATGGAAGAATATAATAGGTGTAGGAGAACTCCATTTCATTGTTTCTAATCTTCATGCTAGATATGCTCAAAAAGCTATACTGAAATCATTTTCAAGATTTGGATAAGATAATTGCCTCTACATATTGGAGTAGTCCCTTCTAAATACACATATTTATATCCCAAGTTTCGAGATTTAGAATTTCTTAAGCTATAAAGAGTTTGAGGAAGCTGTTTAACATCTTTTTAAGGTGTGGGGACAGGGTTATCAAGAGTTCATGAAATCGTCGTCATGAAGGGTACATTTAGTAAGAAGAGATATTTATCTTCATCATCTATGATGGAACTCTCCCTATGAAGATATGGTTGGGCAAAGAAGGAACTTTTTGGTAATATATTTGCATCTACATCATTTCTGGATTGATGATCAATCCAAAAATATACATTAGAATGCTTCAGAACATGCGCAAAGGCAGTACAATTTAAGAGAAGTGACACAACAGTTCTTATAGTGCTCAATTTGAGCTAAACTAGTGTACTTCAACTGGTGTTTTGATCTCCTCTTCAAAAGTGACCTAAGTCAATATAAAGATTTTTTTGGTAGGTGAAAGGTAGCACATCGAATATTTCTGGATTGGATTAGTAATTCACAAAAATATATTTGAGAGCTCAGTAGTTAAATTTCCCTCTATTAGTTCTATGAACATATGCAAAAACAATACAACTAAAATATGCAAAGCAAGATTGCTTAAGAAAAACAGAGCACTTCAAACAATGTTTTGAACTCAAAAACTTTGAGAAGTAATATGTTTATGATGACAGTAAAAACAGCCTCTTCCCAAAAATGATTTTGAAATATTAGGTTGCAATAATAATGCTCTAGTTGTGGCTAGTAAGTGACCATTTTACACATCTACAATCCCATTGCGCTGCATCTTAAAGCATGAAGCCTCGTATTTATACCATCTTCTTGAAATATGGGGAAAATAATTGGTTAAAGTGGTCCTAGGCAACAAAAAGATACAATTTTTTAAATTTTCATGCCAAATTAGTACTGGATCATATCACAAAAAGCAAGAAGGGCAGTAGCTTCAACATATTTGGATCTAGATAAGAAAACATACAAAAAAAAAAAATTTCTAGTGCAATCATAAAAAAACAAAGCAAACAACATAATGCATGCTACGTTAGCAAAAACGGAGAGCTCCATATGAATCAAGCAAAAGGAAATAAAATTTCTCTTATACTACTAGCTAGAAAACAAAAGTTTATATTTTGCAAATTCACAAGCATGATATAATGAGAAGTTTAAATATCAACTCTAAAAGGAGAGAGAAAAAAAACCATATATTTTAAATCCTCATCCTCCCTGGTACAGGCTTGCCTCTGACTTTATTTGAGTAGATGTTATCATTATGAAGGTTGTTCAACTTCAACAAGGGTTAAAGAAATCCTCCAAAACTTGGAGCGCAACAAATGTGTAATAAAAGTAGTGAAGAAGGTTTTAATTAAGGAAGACACGTTAAACATAAATAAAAGTTTCATGGAGAGAAGGTCAAGGACGTTGAAAAGCTCTCAAATCATCTCAAAATTAGCTTGATCAAGAGTAACGAAGTAGGTAAGTGATAGAATCAGCAAAAGGCTGGATTGAATGCAACAATGAGGCAAAATCATAACCATAGTAGCCATATTGATACGAAACAATAATAAATAACAAAAGACTTACCCTTAGGCTAATAAAGACTAAATTTCCCTTAAAGACCGACGTAACAATACTCCCCTCATAAAAAAAAATCTTGTCCTCAAGGTGGAAAAAACTACTGTTGGATGAGGTTGCATGGTTTCAACGTGACGTCAGCATCTAACGATCTCTTTCATCTAATCAGAAACTCATAGTGACCCTCACCATCTCAAAATGTCTTCTTATGCAGATCCTTTGGCCGTATCTAAATTTGATGGTATATTGACTTCAAGTCAGTCATGGAGAATATCTCCGCACTAAGAAACTAATCCAGTAGCCCATCGATCCCTGGAATCTCTGCCAACTTCATATCATGTGTCTCTTCCATGCTATGCAACTCAATCAAGAATCCGTCATGGGATCGAGTAACGCTACAGGAACAGACGCGATCAGGGAACATTGTCAGTTCGAAGGACTTAATCATAGCTCTTGTATCGACACTCAACAAAACAGAGTAACCGAGAGAAAAATTTGAAATCTCGATGTTATTCGCTCCATTATTTTTCACTCTAATGTCCCAAAAAATTTCTGGAATAATGTCATCTTACCGCCACTTATCTCATCAATAGAGTTCTCTAAAAAATTCACAACTTATGTACCCCTTTAGCCGTATTGAGATCATGTTTTCCTAACAATCTGGTCTTCTTTACTTTATGTCACAAAATTTTTAGGTGTACAACCTTTGTTCAAAACATGACCCCAATTCGGAATAAACTTGATCCCAAATCCATAAAATGTATTTTTCTAAAATATTCTACCACTCAAAAAGGATATCGGTGCCTTGACCCTACCACAAATAAAGTTTATGTGAGTGTTGATGTTTCTTTTTTTAAAAGTGTTACCTACTTTCTTTCCTTAGCCTCCAGTGAGAGGGAGCTAGAGTTCTTGGACATTACCCTACTCCTGTTGATGTTCCCCCCACATCACCTACCATCGAGAAACCATTTGTTCATTTGGTTCCACCCACTTTTGTACCACCAAAGAGTCCTCTGTCACTTTAGTTCCACTAGCACATCCTCTCACTCTCCATATCTACACTTGACGCACTCATTCTGATGCACCTACTCTAAAGCTTGCTAACCCATTGCGGACCTTGAATCCTCTCTGGACGACATCCCCACTACTGCTCCTCCAAATGAGGAAATTAGTTCCTCCAGTTAGGTACGAAATCATACATGCTTTCTCTATCCCGTGGCAAACTATATTTCTTTTTACAGATTATCGTCAACCTACAGAGCATTTGCTATGACCCTAACAATCAACTTCCGTCTACTGTTGAGGCTGCCTTAACAGACGCAGCTTGGAAAGCTATCGTGATGGAAGAGATGGATGCCCTTAAGCGGAACCATACTTGGGAAAATATTGATCTTCCTTAAGGCAAGAAAGCAGTGGGATGCCGATGAATTTTTAGCATCAAGTTTAAATATGATGGATCCTTTGAATGCAACAAGGCACGGTTGTTCGCCAAAAGGTAATTTCAAATCTACGAACTATGGTGAAATATTTGTTGTAGTTGCTAAACTAAACACCATTTGGGTTCCCCTTGCATGAATATAAATTGGCCCTTATTCCAGCTTGATGTCAAGAACGCATTCCTGAATAGCGATCTTACAGATGAGGTATATATGACTCTTCCTCCAAGCTCCACTACCTCATAGGGGCAAGTATGTAGATTGCACAAATCCCTCACTGGATTGAAGCAATCACCACGGGCATGGTTCGGGAAATTCACAAAGATGGTGGTAGGTCTTGAATTCACTCAGGCTCAATCGGGCCACACTCTCTTCTTTCAGCATTTCTCCAGCGGCCAAGTAGCTATCCTTATTGTTTATGTTGACGATATTGCTCTCATAGGTAATAATCTACCAGCATTAGAGCATTTGAAAGACATTATTGTTGCTTCCATTGAAATGAAGAACTTGGGATCTCTCTGTTACTTCTTAGGCATGGAAGTTGCTCGGTCATCATAGGACATTTGCATATCTTAACGAAAATGCGCAAACCAGTGGCTGTCTTGATGTATCCCAATGAAAACTACTTGATGTTCCCAATGTAGTTTCTGTTAACAAGACTCAATATCAACGTCTTGTGAGGAAACTCATTTATAATGCCCAAACACACCCCGGCATATGCCACGCAGTTCAGATTGTTAGTCAATTCATACATGATCCCTATGAGCACCACCTCCAAGCTGTCCACCGGATTCTCCACTATCTAAAAAGCATACCAGACTCATATTTATTTTTTCCCACCACACCTCTCGTTCTATTGTAGTTTACACAGATGCGGCTTGGGTCGAGCCAACCCATAATTGGCGATCTATCTCGGGGTACTGCTCAATTATGTGGGGAAACCTGGTCACATGAAAAATCAAGAAGTTTATAGTTGCTTAGAGCAGTGCGGAAGCAGAATTTTGATTCATCTCCCTGGAAATTTGTGAAGCTCTCTAGTTACACATCACACTCCATGAACTCCGTATCACAGCCTTCGCTCCACTATGTGTGTTCTGTGAAGACAAGACTGTCATTAGCATTGCTCACAACCCAGTCTAGCATGATCGCACCAAGCATGTTGAGATTGTTCGACACTTAATTAAGAAAAAGCTCGAATTCGGGAAAATTTGTGTTCCATTTGTGCGCCATCAAGTGGCCAGCTGACAGCCATTCTCACAAAAAACCTTCCTCGGTCACCGTTTGATGATTTCAAATCCAAGTTGAACATGACTGACATCTATGCTTCAATTTGAGGGGAAGTATTAGAATATTAGAATATTAGAATATTAATATGTATAATTCTGTATTAATTGCTTCAATTTGTTTTTATTTATTTTCCTTCTTTCTTTTATTCTATTTTTATTTGTGTTCTTACTAGTAGATCATTTAATGAGTATTTATACCCCTCTTTGCATCAATAAGATTGCCCTGGTTCTATTCTAACAAGTTCTAAAATAGAACAATGCTCTAATATCAAAATTACCAAAAGCCTCTTTTAATAAGGTTGGCATGAGAGTGTTTATAGGTGCTGCAATATATAAGAGTGTAATTCATGAGGGTCAGGGATTAATTCTTTCCAAAGTAACCACCCAATCCAAATTAGATCACATAAGGCTTCCCACAATCCGCTAGGTATCCTGTCAAATGAATCTAATAAGCCTTTGGGAATAAAGATCCTAGGTAATCAAATAAGGGTTTTCACACAAATATGTACAGAAAACAATATCATAGAGACCGATATAAAGCTAGGGTTCCTTGGAAACTCGTCCTATTATTCTCCTCCTAAACTTTTCCGCTTCATTTTATGTTTACCTTTGTCTTTTCTTGAATCCTTGCCTAAAATAGTAAGTAGATAACTATAAACACAAAAAAGAAAAAAAAACACTAATTAAGCATCCTAAATGGCGAGTGAAAGGCCTATAAAGAGCAATATGCTGGTTGGATCTTAGGCCAAATGACTATTTGGCAAAAGGGAGGTGAGGCTTCTTGATAAGAGATACGCTTGTTGAATTGGTTCTTAATAGAAGGGAGATGAAAGCTGGCCTATTGGATTTCGTATTATGAGAGAACAAAGAGAGATAAAGAATTTGTGTTTTAAAAAGCTTTTCAAGACACCTTGGCCCTTGGCTTATAATGAACCTAACGAGAACTTATTTATAGAAATAGAAAATGTTCTAGAAAATAATTTAAGGGTTTGTTTGGGACAGCTGTAGCTTATCCTGATAAGTTGCTGATTAGCAACTTATTTTGATAAGCTAGCAGACTGTTTGAATTTTGCGTTTGAAAAACAACTAATTCTGGATAAATAACAATTTCGCCCATGTTCTGGATAAATAAAAATTGGATGAAAAGCATTGAATAGGAAAGAAGGCGCCAGCGAATCGTACGACATTTAAAAATCTATTCCAATGACTCAAGAACATTGGATGGAAAGCTTTGAACTGTAACAAGACACCTACAACTATTGCGGCATTGCAAAATCTATTCCAATGTTTCAGATTATTGGATGGAAAGCTTTGAACCAGAAACAAAGCACGAAAAACTATTGCAGTATTTCCTAATCTATTCCCTATAAGCATTGGAGGTCAGGACAAGGGTTAAAAGTTTACCTAACGACAGACATGAATCCTTTCGAGCACTAAAAGTTGTGAGTGTTGCTCCCGCTCGATGGGAAGAGGAGCAGAATGTTTCTCTTTGCCCTAGAGATTGCAAAGTAGCTCCGAGGACCTGATTAGGATATTTCGGAGGTAGGGCGTGATACTTACCTTGGTCGGAGCGGTGTGGAAGGATGAGAAAGATGGGAGTTTCGGTGGTCTCTGTAACGAGCGATCCCTTCGTTGCCATCGTTGTTTTCGTTGCGGGAGAGAAGGGGTCGCGGGAGATCCGTGTGAGAAGAGGAGGAAGAGGAGAAGACAAGGGGGTCGAGAGAACCGTGCGAAAGGAGATGAGGGCGAGAGTTGTATTTTGCTCGAATGAAACGCGGATAGCGGGGTCCGCATCTAATGTAAAATTGTGAACGACTTATTTAAAAAACGTCACCGCTGTGAATTAGCTCCCCCAAACGCACCCTTAAATTACGAGTCAAAAATGAAAATAGGTCATTTATTCTAAGAAATATTTTAAATTCTAAGCCTTAAGACCAACTAGAGAACTCCAACTCCTACTCCAGAAAAAAAACAAAATAAAAATAAAAAATTCATGGATATCCTTGCAATGAAATTAAGCAAAAGCCTAGAATTTTGATCTAAAAATGTCATTAAATATGCTTGATCGAACATTTGATCAAATCTAAACAGTATCCATCCATAAAACACAAAATCAAATTGTACTACTGTGCTATTATGAATCAAGAAGCGCATTTAATTCCCTATATTTGGTTACTTTTGGTTTCAATATATGGAAATAAAACCTTTGATTGATCATCTCTTCTAAATGAGATAGCACTGTTGATTGCCATTGGCAGCAAGTAAATCATGTAATTTAAATTAAAATTTTAAGATTTTTTAAACATGCTAAACTAAATTGCCTAGTTATAAATTAGTGGCATTTATGTGCATGCCACCCAATTCCTATGTATTTTCAAATCTAACACTCAAATTTTACTTTTACAATTTTACTAACCAAATATTTCATATTACAACAAAAATATCATTATTTTAACTTGTAAAAAGTGAAATACACCTTTTCATAGAGAGGTAGAGTGGCATATATGTAAAAATTAAATTTTAGGTGTAATATCTGTAAAGACATAGGAATTGAGTGGTACGTATTTAAATCTTCCTATAAATAATAAAGCTCTAGACAAAAATTGTGATACTCACGGATAAGAAGCGATTCATCCCAGATACCAATGTCTGAGGAGTATTAGCAGTACAATCCACCGACGGTTTTCCCTCATAGACAATCACTTTGTCAGCAAGATAAGTTGCCATTATAAAATCATGCTCCACAACAAAGGCTGTTTTCTTTGCATGTAGAATGAACCTCTTTATCACCTTGGATGCAACAATACGCTGTTCTGAGTCAAGATAAGCACTAGGCTCATCAATCAGATATATGTCTGCAGGCTGCACAAAGAATTCAAAAGATGATTAAATCAACAAGAACTTGAAAAGAACGTACCATCAAGATTTATAAAAAGGACAGTTTCAAAATAACCCCTTGACTCTTTGTCAGAGGTTATTTTAGTCCCAAAGCCTGTAAAAGGGCCAAATTGGTGCCAGGACACTTTCAATATGGACTAAAATAGACTACTTTAGCCCATATTAAAAGTATATGGGGGCTAATTTGGTATTTTTACAGAGTCTGAGACTAAAATTGCCCCATGTAAATAGTCAGTGGATTATTTCGACAATTTACTCGATTCATAAATTCCACGGCGGTCTGGTAGAAAATACAAACTCAGGAACAAGTCAACTAAGAATTGAAATATACTGCATTTATCAAATTAAAGAATCCTTAAATAACAAAGAGGAGCGGAATGTATCTAAGAAATTTATACCAACCTTCCCAAGGCATAGGCACAATGCAACCCTTTGCAACTCTCCACCAGAGAGATTAATAACTTCTTGGTCCATCAGTTGCTCAATTTGTAATGGTTTCATAACATCAGAAACAAATTGAGGATGCATGTATGAGTCACGAATTTTTTGATGCAGTAAGTGCCTCACAGTTGATTGAAACTTGGGACTGATCTTTTGAGGCTTATATGAGACATTGAATTCAGGTATTTCAACATCTGAACCTTCAACAGAGTCAGGCTTCAGCAAACCGGCCTATGAAAGGACCAAAAATTAATAGCACCAAAAAAAAAAAAAATCAGTATTTCTTACTCCTATTCAAACACCAATAAAAGGCTGGAAATGGAATACAGAAATGCTAAGCGTTTATGTGCATCGAGGTTGAATAATTTAATAATTAAAACAGCTTAGCAAAAAGCACAGCACAGATAAAGATTGATCCAAAAACATGGACAAATATAAGCAGTTCTGATTATATAAAAAAATCATGCAGGGAATTGTTTTAATAGAGTGTCGAATGTGCCATTTGAAGTGCCTTAAACTTTACTTTCCCAGAAAAAAAAAGATTCTGATATCTCTTCACGGGCAATTAAACTCGGCCGCATTAATTGAGCACAGCGTATGTGCCCTCTAGCTTGATTACTTACCAAATCAATCTTACTCTACATCCCCCCTCTCATTCTTCTGATTTGTTTCCATTAATCAAAGCATTAGCAAATTGATAAGTTTTTCTGTTCAAGATATGTTTGTGAATCAAGTTAAGGCTTTGTCATGTTTGGTTTTTTATACAAAGACAAAATCACATGAAAAGGCTTATATCATGCCCAATACTCCTCAAGGTTGGCAAAATAAAAACTAAAGCAAATATGCACAAAAAAAGGCGTACCAGCATGCGAATAAATGTCGTCTTCCCGGTTCCATTTTCCCCGAGCATCACAATGATCTGGGAGTCAGTAAATTCACCCTCCATTACACAAAGTTTAAAATTACCCTGCAATTTAATCATTGTGGGATACCGGTAACGTTGATATGTCTGAATCTCCTCAGCACTCTCCTGAGGAGTCTCGGCAACCTGAAAAGAAAGAATGTCAGAATTTCAAATTCTTTTTAGAATTATGGAGTTTGCTTGATTCCTTACCTTAAAAGTAAGTGATTCGTCTCTAAAGCGCAGATTCTCGGTAGGAACGAAACCAGCCAAGAAAATATTGATACCTTCCCGTACGGAAAAGGGTAAAGTAACAACCCCGTAAGCTCCCGGCTTCCCATATAAGCAACAAATGAAATCCGACAAATAATCCAGGACGCTTAGATCATGCTCCACGACAATCACATAGCTAAGAATAGAAGTAAGTTACAATACAAAAATTTTCAATATAAAATTTAAGTAAAGTGCCAAAATAGTCTCTTGACTATTTACATAAAGCCATTTCAGTCCTAGAGTCCATAAAAGTGTTAAATTATTCCTCGCATTCATTTAATATGGGCTTTCAGTTACTAGGGAAAACTATTTTAGCCCCCTTTAAAAGATAATGGGACCTAATTTACATTTTTATAGGCTCTTGGACTAAAAATGTCCACTCTTGGACTAAAAATGTCCACCGACAAAGAGTCAATGTACCATTTTGACACTTTTTCTCATAAAAATTTTGTGGAGATATCTTTCCACCTGTTTGGTCTGAGCAAAGATCGAACAACTTGTGCGGCCTTAAGCCTTTGCCGCACATCAAGGTAGCTGGAAGGCTCATCAAACATATATATCTCAGCATTTTGCACAGCAACCACAGCAATAGCGAACCTCTGCAGCTCTCCGCCGGATAAATCCCCGACATTGCGGTCGATTACTTGATTCAACTCAAGATCATTACACAGCTCCACCTTCTTATCTTTCTCATCCTTCTGGTCAAGCACCTGCCCGACATTTCCTTGGACGGCTTTGGGAATGTGATCAACATATTGCGGTTTGATAATCGCCTGTAAATTACCAAATAAATATTTTTCATGGAATATGCCTTGAAATGAAAGTATGCTGCATGAAGAATCCGTGACAATTCACATATAATGATAAACAGCGGTCGCAGAACAAGATTCCTGAAAACATTATAATATCATGATTTACCTCACTATGTTTAGGAAACAATTTTTAATATTTTAAGGTAATGATGATATAAGAAAGAGAATTTACCCTGTGAGGAACTGTTAACTATAGAGAATACCACATGCAAACCAAAATAAATTAACTATTTCATTTTTTAACTGATTTAATCTGCTTCAAGATCATGCCATGACACAATTATGATTAAGTAATTACACTAAGCCTAACTATCAGTCATAAACTATATCAATGAATTCTTGAGTTTGAAGTAATTAGCAATGCTTAATCAGAAAATTATGCTGCAATCAACATTCATTGAAGTAAGCCTCACTATCCGTCATAATTATATCAATGAATTTTGTATAGTGAACAATGAGTTATTAATCATTTCACATTGTTTTAGACAAAGGAAGTTCAAAAAATGTTAAAAAAATAAAGATAACTGTGAAAGTAAATGGGTTCTTGACATACAAATAATATTTAACAAAATTGAGGAGCTAGCCATTGTCTTAACCTATATATACACAAAGTTGAATGTCATGTGACTAAATCAAACCCAACTTCCAAAGTGGCTGAATCAAGTTCAACTGCCAAAGTCGTTGAATCGAGCCCACTTACTGAAATGGTTGAATCGAGCACATCTGCCGAAGTGACTGAATTGAGTTTGTCTGTCGAAGTGGTTGAATTGAGCCAACTAGTTGGAGTGGTTGAACCGACCACATGTCGATCTAATTATATTCATTCACCTCAAAAGAACGACCTAGCCCACCTGTACGAGGGCAGCCATCGAAATTAGTCATCATGACCATGAAAGACATCTGTCAATCCATTACTAAAGACGTCGCCCGACATTTGAGACTAAGATCTTTTCTCCCATGCAAAAGGGATGGGCGTCGTACCGGCAACACCTGACATCTGCATTGCAGCCCTTTCATGAAGAGACCAAAGAGGAGTGTTGTACAGTGCGAGATGTGCCACATTGATTATTTTATTGCACTTTGCCCTTGTATATAAAAGAAAAGAGAAAAGGTGAGGTGAGAGGCACTCCATCTCTCTCTATCCCTCTCTCTCTCCCTCTCTCTTTCTCTCTCCCTTTGAAATCTTGAAACTAAAGGAACCTCCGAGGAGCCTCACTTCTCCTCAATAACTTAATACATTTCCTAAGGTTTCCTCTTATGAATCTCATCCATCTCTCCTCTTTTCCAGTTCTCTCCATGATACAAGATCTTTGTTGGGTTGTATGCACTCACAAACAATAGAAGACCATAAATATCAAAAGAATTCAACATCATGATAATTTATCTTGCCTATAAATTTGAAATTTTTTACATGTTTTAATTATTTTTTAGGGCAATTAACATACATAGCACACAATTCTAATTTGTTTACATATTTCATAACTAAACGTTCATATTTACACACGCGAACTCTAATCTTCAATATCACATCAAAAATAGCATTATTACCAACATTTAAAGTGATATACACCTTTCAATGGTTTAAAGCACCAAAGTGCTACGTCTGTAAATATGGAAGTTTAGGTTTGAGATATGTAAATACATAAGAATTGCGTGTTAGATATGTAAATTTCCTATTCTTTCAAATTACTGATCCAATAAAAGTCACTAAATTTTAACATCACATTAGAATGTTCCTCTCAGATAAATGAAAACACTGAGATGATAAGTTGATAACAATAAAATCTCTATGGCAAAAGGCTTAATTAATAGAATAAAAATACTGAACAGAATAAAATGAGATGAAAAACAATGGCCGTAACTCCAAAAGCACTATTAGCTTTATCATAAACTAATAAAGTTTCAAAGCTGGCAATTAGAATGCCAAGATAATTGATCTCAATGCATTACTACTACTTCAGCAATTACTGAAATTTTAGAGCTAATAACCCGCACGCCAAGGACTATCCAAGTTCACAATGACAAATAACTTTCAAATCAGAAAACGCTCAGCTTGCATGCTTTCAAGAGTAATAATTTTGAAGAATTAGCTATGCAAACCTTAAAAGATAGAATTGTAAACATTCCCAATTGTATACATCCCCAACTATTTTGGTCAGTTTTATGAATGTTTCTCCATTCACTTTCTAAGGATATACATCAAATGCTTTATGGAAAACTTCTGGACAAAGTTATTATCATTGCTCTCTTTAGTAATCCATCACAATCCCATAGAAAAATAATTTCACTTTATAAAAAGTGAAAGACATAAAAATAGATATAACACAATTTATGAATTACAAAATGTTTGCAGAGAAAAACATAACAATATATAGAAAACATGGCAAAGCTTGAAATGGTGATATATCCTGGAATAGTGAAAAAATAATATCAATGAAGGACGCGACTAATTAACTGCAAACCTTTAGGTTATCCTCCAAAATTCGTGTGAAATAATTCTGAAGCTCAGATCCACGGAAATATGTCAATATTTCCTGCCAATCAGGAGGATTCTGTAGAAGAAACATTCATGGATATATTAATCATATAAAATGAATCATATAAAATGATAAAAAAATAAGAAAAAAAATAAGCAATATGTCAGATAGATTACATTAAATCTTCCCAAATTGGGCTTTAACTTTCCAGCTAGTACTTTCAGGGCAGTAGACTTCCCAATTCCATTTGTTCCAACAAGACCAAGAACTTGCCCGGGTCTAGGTACTGGTAGCCTGTAAATATAAACTTTCAGCAATTTTACTTGAATCATTGTGTCAAAATAGAACATTTTTTGCCACCATTAAAAGGTACCTATGCAGCTTGAATGTGTTGGGCCCATAACGATGTGTTGTATCTTTGTCAAGATCCTTCGGTAAATTAATAATTTGAATTGCCTCAAAAGGACATTTCTAAAGAACATAATAATTAGAAAAATACCATTTAGCATAGCCTTTAAGAAAAATCAAAGTAGTATAACTGAACCACTGCATCACAGAGACAGACCTTGACACATATACCACATCCAATGCATAGTTCTTCGGAAATGAAAGCAATTCTTGAGGAAGATATGACCTCTATGCAAAGTTTGCCTGCCAAGTTAAACCCATAAAAGCCAAATAGTTAAATTTCTAGTAATAAAGACTCCAAATGTGCAAGATAGAAGTCTCTGAAGAAGTATAACAATCGCACCAACATTTTAAACTATAATTACAACTTCTCTATAAAACCAATAATGTTCCAACAACATTGGTAACAAAAAACATAAAAAATGTGTAAAAAATCTCTAAAATCTAAGAATAAGATATGGAGATAAAAAGATTTTTAAAAGCAATGACATTTAAAAATAATTAAAGCTCACATAGAGAACTAAAAAATATAAGCTATGCACAGATTAAGTTGACAAATTTCATCAAAAACATGAACATGGAGAATGAAATAACAAAACCTAATATCAGCATCAATTACAAAGCTGGTTATAGCATAAATGTAATGTCTTGGTAAATATTACGCAACTTCTGAAGAGTAAATCAACCTCTATATCAAATCATTAAAGATTAAACTACAGCGCAGGAATCATAAAGAGCATAAAATCAACGAAAAATCAGGCACATCAATATCACAGGATCTATCCACCTACAAACTCAGGTCATGCTTCAAAATACCTCTTTGAGAATTTCCTAGCAGCAATAACATAACCAATTTTCGGAGACAACGTTATCAAAGCATAAGCCAATCACACTTTCATAGCAAAGGCTAAGAAAAAAAAAATTAAGCCAATCACACTTTCATAGCAAAGGCTAAGAAAAAAACAAAAAAATTAATAACGAAAAAACCATATCCCCGCTAAATACCGGTTTTCACCACAGGGCAACTCTTCTTGCACTCCTGGCGGCATTTCTTCGGCTTACACCGATCGGAGCTGACGATCGCAATCCGAGTCAATCTATCCGCCATCAAGCCCCGCCCAAATCAACCGACCCACAATCGGAGAGTCTGAACGCTCCCACACTGCCGCAACGATTCCTCGACCGACTAATAAAGCAATCGAGAAAGCGCAATACGGCGAATAAGGGTTTAAGAAGCACCCCCCTTCCTGCTTTCCTTCGAAGGAGAAGCCCTAAGAGAACAGCAATAATAACAATAAAGTAGATTTACATAAAAAACACTTAAAATAACTCTATTTACACATGTACCAGATTCATCCCCCACCGTCCACCTACCGACAACCTCCGCTCGATGCCTTCCCTCTCCCGGGGGATCTTTTTGGGCTTGTAGACGCCGCACGCCTCGGCGGCCTCCCCTATCCTCCGTTTAGCATCTGGTAGTTCAGAAAAAAACAAGAAATTTCAGATGAGACAAGTGTCGAATATGTAAATAACAAAACTTGGCGGGTGAAATTGATCATAAATCAGGAGATGATACAACGCACTCGTTAGAACTTGACCATAACGGAACCGTTGGCCACGTAGCGATTGAGAATTGTTCATGACCAGCGTGTCGCGTGGCGGAAGCGTGCCAAATTGCTATTACTGAAAGCTTATATTTTTGTTTACATCTAATATCGAAATTCGTATTCATATTTTTAATGTTTTGATATCATAAAAATTTTAACATATATTTCATTTTTTTGAATATAAATAATAATCGTATTTCAATGTAATTTAGAAGGTATAGATAAGGGCACAACCACCACCAGTAGAACAAAGCAGTAGAATAAACCAAGTGAAATAGCTGAATGAACCACCAAAACATATGGGAAATTACTTTAAAAAAAAGGAAAAAATCAAAGCCTTTAAAACAAGAAAATGCGCAAGCCTGCAGCCAAAAAGAGCGTTAAAAAGCGAGTTGGAAGAGACCAAAAATTCATAATAGCTCAAAGATCATGTCCAAATCAGACAAATAAATGGCTACATTCAAGTCAATTGAGATAAAAGCAACACATAAAAATTTGTGTTAGGCTTAAAAGAAAAATAAAGCGGGTAAAGATATCAGAGTTAATAAAACCACTCTCCATAGACAAATAGCAACTCGGGCCCGTAATTATTTGAATAGCTAATAGAGCATCCATCTCGATTGAGATGTTTTCCACCATCCTGGATTTAGCAATCTTTAGACTCAATTTTGGAGCAAACATTTCAATATATAAAGTTTTATTTTTAAAAATACGGCCAGGAAAAGCAACTATTAAGGCCCTTTCATTATCACAGACTAAGCGCCCAAAGCCAAAATCAATATTAAAAGCAGAACCATTAGTCTTAATCTTAGTTCAACCAGCAGCTTAAACTTGGTAACTACCATTAAAAAGTTCCCAAAACTTTTATTACAGATAAGTTTAGCATTAAAAAAATAATAAATTATATCTTTTTTGTTCCAAACTATATGATGAGAGCATATGCTGACACCATTGTGTTTAGATTCATTTATTTCTTTGCAAAGACACTAGAGAATAGAAGTACAAATGATGGCTATAATATGACCCGTATAAATACCATTAATAACCTTGAACTAATTTTTAAACATAAGTTTAATAGAAATATCATGAGAATAAATAAAGAGTTAGAAAATTCATTCAACCAAACTCATTGTTTTCTAATTATAGGGCAATCCGCAAACACATGATTAAGAGATTCAATATGAGAACAATAATGATATTGTATTTAGAAGTAATAGAAAATCTTTTTTTTTTCCAAAGAATAATCTCAAAGAGATGCAACCTTCTAAAATTTTTTAGCACAAAAAAGTGCAATGACTTGACTACATAATGATGCAAAAGATAAAGAAATAAGTCTTGAAGCTCTTAAATGATGTCACACCTCCTTAATGGAGAAATTTCCATATTCAATAAGATGAAACAATGTTTTATTGTAAGTGTTCAACTCTAATGGAATCTTAATAATCAAGTTACCAGTGAGAGAAATCTTAAGTTTAAGGATAGCCCAAATACCATTGGACATGAAAAAATTTCTACTTCAATGGCAGTCGTCTTGTGGGAATTTAGAATAGAATCAACTAAACCAAATCTCATCCAATTATCTTGTTAGAATATAGAATTACACTTTTTTAACCCCAAAAAGATGAGAACATCTGCTTCCCACTTAATAAAATGCATACTTTTCCAAGTGGGAGAATCACCTTTACAAAAAAAACAACAAGTAGGATGCTTGCTCTGGCAATATTTTGTTTTCATATATTTGGCCCATAACCAAAGGTTATAGGAGAATGCATGGCCAAGGTCATAAAGAGATTTAAACTCTAGCCCCTTCATTATAAGAGAAACATACTTTAAGCCATAAAGACTAGTGAAACGCTTTCCGATTAGAGGTAGTGCCACCATAAGAACCTATTAAATAAATTTTCAATTCTAGAACAAGTTCTCTTAGATTAGTTTGGTGCAAATAAACATGCAATGGGCAAAGAACACTTTTAATTAGTGTGATACCATCATCGATGGAAAGGAAAAAGAAATCTCAACTAGAGAGTTTATTCCTGTTTGAGACAAGGATGTCGTCAAAGAGAAAATTCCTTTTCTTACATCTATAAATTGGTATTCACAAGTTGTTAAAAGGAAAGGGAATGAGGAAGAAAATTAAATCATCGATTTATGTGCATAATGGAGGAAAGAGGAAAAGACTTAACATGAATAAAGTTACTCTTATAATTATTAATAGAAAGCACACTAATCATTTGGAAATCCTGAAGAAGCTCTAGGATTAGGTCCCAAAAAGTAGAGGATCTATTACAGAAGATTATGATATCATCAACAAAGCTTAAGTGAGTGACATCGTGCTTCACTTTAGTTTTAAGTATAATGAATGACTTTCATTAAAGAGCTTGGATCGAATTTTTCGATCTGTGCCAAAATTTGAATCAATCTTAGCGGTTAGCGAGCTTCGAGCTAAATTCACAGCCTTAATTATGGTGTGTCGCCTTGGTATCACTCTCTCGGTAGATATATGACATGGGAATGAGTGGGAGGCGCATAGGAGAAAATTGGGTGGCACGAAGATGTCAGTAGGCTAAGTTTCAAATTTAGTTCTTTTGTTAGTTTCAAGGCCTTTAGCTTACAATTAACATGAAAAACAACTATAAAGTTATAAATATGATAAAACTAGCAAAAGAAAATACATACAAAAAAAATAAATACCGCCAACATTTTAGACACATCAAACCCCCCTAAACTTACACATTATTGTCCTTAAATAATTTCAAAATCTAATATTAAAATATAATAAAAATTAGGGTAAATTTTGATCAATAATTTTAATAAATACCACAGACATTTTAGACACATCAAACTCCCCTAAACTTACACATTATTTGTCCTTAAATTATTTCAAAATTTAATATTAGAATATAATAAACATTAGGGTAGGTTTTGATCAATAATTTTAGTATTTTTTTTAATAATTAGCAAACATTTAAATCAAAGTACTCCTATCTTTACTTTAGGTAGAATTCTCGGAGTAATCCCTTAATATCCCGATATAATTCATGTTAATATCAGATTTATACAATTTATCTCAAAGTAATTACGTGGAGTAAGAATTTCATGAAATTAATATAATGTAACTTATTTTTGATGCTATACTCGCAAATACTTTAGAATTTATATATTAGCAAATTAAGGTAGAACATGAATAAACAACAAAAGTAAACTACATTATAGATTATGGCTAATAATACATATGTATGTGTAAACACCAGCGAATGTAAACTTACATATTCAAATTTTAGATACAATTTATAAGGAAATTAAATTTCAACATTAAGCTCCAGGATTGTATGCAATGTAGACGGTTATAGAGATTGTTAAGCAAAAACACACAAATACGACAAAAAAAAAAAAAAATTTGGGTTATCTTAAATGCTTTGCCTGACGTCCTTAATTAGACCAAATCACACACAAACATAATAAGACAATCAATCTTGAAATGAAATTATAAGATAATACTCGAGCTACCTCCCAAGTAATGTCTGGTTTTATGTCATCAACTTGACAATGTCTGATTTAATATTTAATATTTTTCTCCAAGAACAAATATCCAGTGTAATAATCTTCAATTTATTATTCAATATTTAAATTTTCGAGACTCATAACAAATTTTGTTGTGATCACATATTTTTCTCATTTTGTTATATTAAATCACTCTTTTCTAAATATTTATTTTAAAATCTCTTGTAACTAGGGATAGGAGTAGGGGTTGATATAAGATCATAAATCTGAAAAGTCAATTCTTCATTTTCTGCTCTAATAGTTAAATTCAATTTTTGTAAGTCAATATTCACACTGCAAGATGCAAGGAAGCATCAACTAAAAATAATTAGGATGTTCTCATCTTCACTCATATCCAACACAATAAAACCAACAAGAAAGATGAATTATCTACTTCCTGGCACATTTTCCTACTTTATGGCACATTTTCTATAATTCTTAGGATCTGTTGGTTTTATAAGTTGTGAAGAAAAACTTACAAGTGCAGTTAAACTCACTAAGAAGTTATTACAAATTATTTTGAAGGAGTATTAAAATTGCTCTATTGCTCCTTGCATTGATTCATTATGTGATAATATGTAAAGGGTTATTGCCAACACCTCTCTCGAAGTTGCTTGGAAGAGCCATGAAGTCCATGATTTCTATGTAGTTCCTCCAATAGATTGTTGAATATCTATTATACCATGCAAAATATATTGCTAAATCTTGTTGGATAACCTGCAAGCAACTCTCCAACCTATTTGTCCCCAACTTGTGAAGATTTCATGCGAAGGGAGTGCTTTATGTGTGAGTTATAAACCCTAATATTCATACACCAAGCATACGACAACTACAACTCTCCTTATGCCTTTCTTTGGTTGCATCCATGTAAGTCAGTATCATATTGGCTAACACAAAAGCATCAATGAATTAACTACAATTATATAAGGTTACGAACAATACAATAAAGATATAAGCATCAATGAATTAGACATGTATCAAGCCGTTGAAATATCCAAAGAAAAATGAAAACAATAAAAAAATATGAATGCTCAATGCGATTATAAATAAAATAAAGTCTCTCAAAAGTTCTTCTGACCATAAAAATATTGTAGGTATGCCACCCTATGGACATCTGACATCTTAATGAAAAAAAAACTCTCAATCATATTGTTGACCTCACTTTTGGTTGAGGTCTAGAAACTTCTTCAGTAGCCTAGGTCTAGCCATAGGACTTTCCTATTGACTAGTCTTAGAAAACTAGAAAAGGTACCCTCACTATTAGAAATTCAAAGCCTTTCTTTTTACTCAACTTGAAATTCCACATATTG